AAGCAAGGTAGCATGATAAAGAGCATGGCCTCTGGAGTCTGACAGACCTGGATTAAAAGTCCCAGCTCCACTGCTTACTAGCTGGGTGACCTCGGGAAATGTACTTGACCTTCTGGCCTCTGGTTCATCTATAAAATGGCATGTAACCCAGTGACTGGGCTCTTGCAAGATGATACCACATGATGTGCTGTACATGCAGGGTTTGGCACTGCGGGGTACGCGGCAGGTGCTCACGGAAAAGGAGGCGTGCCTTTGCTTAGCCTATTCTCCATCAACCTCAGCTCGAGGGAGAGAAGTGAGGCATACAGAACAAGCACAGCCCCAGCGGTCCACACACACACGGTGTCTACCTTGTTGATGCAAATCAGGAAAAACACAGTTAACCAAAAGCTAGTCATGTGGGCAGGCAACGAGCAACAAGGCGGCAGGAAGCAAATTTTACCTTGAATCGCTGGATCCAGGCAGCAAAAATAAACAGTAAAGTCAAATTAATGCTTGGCTTGAGAAAACCTGCAACGCCTCGCTGGGTGCCTGGCCCAGAGCAGGCCCTCAGTAAACATCTGTTGGCTAGCGAGATGAATGGATGGAAGGGAGGCAGGTGAGAGGCAGGAGCGAATCAGAGTGGAGGGAGCCAAGCCCTTCCTGGGGGTTAGGACTGCGGCGGCCCCAGGCATGTTTCTCTAGAAAGGTTTGGCTGTTGCTCTGGGGACAATCGGTGTCCAGTGCCCAACACGGTGCCTGAAATGTTAGGTACTCAGACACTGGCAGCTATTTCTTTACTATGCTAAGATTTTTTTTTCCCTCAAGCCCTTTCCCTAAAGGGAGTCTCAAGTCACTCCTTTCAGAGAAAAGATGGTTACATAAACACGTGGCAAAAAAGCACTGGAAATTGGTCACAGAGCTCGCTCAAAACAGACTAGCACAATGGCTGCACCCGGAAGCCAGGGATGCCGTGAGACAGCATCGCCTATGGTCCAGCTAACAGACCCCTTCGCAGAGCACCCCCTCCAGCAAGTCTGCGGTCCCCATCTCTTCAGTTCATACCTGCTTTCTTGCCAAATTCTCCTTCCAGCTCAGCCTGCGCCCCAGTCAGGGGGAGGTCCACCATCTCCAGGCACACTACCTCTGCCAGAGACTCCTCACGGCTCCACAACACCACCTTCCCTGCTACAGAAACCACAGTCACACTGCTAGGCCCGCCTCCTGGGAGACTCTCCTTGGTGGCTCAGGGATCCCCGCAGCTTTTGTGTGAAAACAATGGCAGAGCAAGGGGCTGGATTTAACAGGTCAAGTGAGGGAAGTTCTAGACCCCACCCTGGAATGCTAAGGAATTATGCAAAAGCAGGGGACATATCTCTGGAAATAATATTCGGGGCACACTCCACTTGAGTCTTTCCCAGAAGCCTGTCCATGGCTCCAAATCAAGTCTGACTGGAACTCATGGGCAGAGCGAAGACAAATGGGCTGAATGAGGTCCGCTCACCCAGCTGCTGCAGGAACAGTAGCAGGTGATCCTCTGTCTGTACCAGGGCCCGGTAGCCCACTGAGTCGTCCTTCTTCAAAAACACCTGGATATACAGCTATAAGCCAAAGAGTCAAGACCACTGCAGTCAGCAAGAATTCTAATGCCCTTTAGAGCACCAGACCCCAAGATTCAAAACATCGGAAGTGGTCAGAGGCCCAGGTCATGGCATGATCTGATGTCTAAACAATACAGATATTGCCTGGACTCCAATAGGGTGACATGTATTCTTAGGAGCCAACACCACGGTGCCAGACTCAACCTCAGGCCTCTCCATGGAGGAACCTCAGTATTTCTCAGGTACCATGTGATTCACCAAGCGCCAATCACACCCCACAAAACAGGAGGCAAAGACTGGCGTTCCTATTTCAGAAATAAGGAGTCACAGCCCAGTGAGACTGAGGGGCACAAGTATGCATGCACAGAGGCAGCGCTGGGCAAGCGACTAAGAGTGCAGGCGACCGCTCACCAGCTCTGTGCCTCTGACAGGATCCTGAACCTCACTAGGCAGCTTCCTTGCTCATAAAACGAGGGCGGTAATAAGCACTCAAGACTGCTGGGAGGGGTCAGTTAGTGCGTAAGCGAAAGCTTAGCACGTGCCTGATGCAGTGACAACTTGGCATAAATGGTACCTGCTTTTTCTGTTATTCACAGGGGTTTATGACAAGCCAGTGGCTCAGGAAGAACTAGAACCCACGTGCAGACAGCCCTAATTCAGGACCCGGGGCTGGGGCCTGGCCCTGAGGAAAGGGCGCCCCCTGCTCAAGGGGTCTCCTCACCCGCTCAGGCCGAGTGCCGTTTTGCTCCAGGCTAAAGGTGATGGTGGTTTCGAGCAGCCGCCGGCCTGTCTCCACCAAGTAGAGGTTAATGGTGTAGGTCTGGTTGAAGCAAGCCAGCGAATCCTAGGGATACAGATGGCATGGGTCAACTAGAGGGACCGCCCCAAACAAAGTTCCCCAAAGGACGGCCAAGAACTGGGGACGCAAACACCCCAGAGAAGCACCCAGGCCAGAAGAGGAAATATGTGCAAGGAAAAATAAGAGAGAAAAGAAAGCTAATTCCTAAGGCAGAAATAAGATACCTGAGTAAATAAATAAAATTACAGCCACTCTGCTTGTTTCAGAAGGAAGCCAGTACAGCATAGCACAGACTTCCCAAAGAGAGGGGAAAGCGTGAGTGGAGAAATCAAACCCCTTCGGAAGAGCTTACGAGATGGAAGCCACAGCAGAAACCTGTGCGTCCAGCCAGGGTCCCACACACTGCACAGATTACCCTTCAACAATACCAGCCAGGACCCCAAAAGAAGTGGGGGAACTGAGGCCCAGAGGAGACCATGGTCAAGAACAGGTTCTAGAGATTCTACTTCCCAATCTCCCAACTAAAAAGGATCCAGAAAGAAATCATTTACAGAACTTAGGAAACCCCACTTGAGACGCGAAACTCGAGATCTGCTCCCAGCCTGAGCTGCTCCCCCGACTTCACAGGGTGGCCTCCTGGGTCTCTGGTCTGGCACGCGGCCCAAGGCCACAGCCTACCTGTGGACTAGACTTCTCCGAAAAGCTCCCCATTGACCCATCTTCGGAACTGCTAGGTTTCTGCTGGGGAAAAGAGAAGGACAGAAGGAGGAAAGTGAGCCAAAGGGGCACTGCCCAGTCAGCAAAATGAAGCTTTAACTCCTGTATCTTCTCAGCACTCGGGTCAAGGCACACCTCATTTCTCATTCCCGTCCACAAAGCCTGTGCAACCCGCAATGGTCCCAGATGGATGGCAGTGAGGTCGTCATGTTAGGATCCCATCCTGGGGACCAAGGGGGTGTGCACAAAGCTCTGCAGATGAGGTGAGGGCATACTTCTCCACAGCCCCTTGCCCTCTGGGTTCAAAGTGACCAGGCGAGTGTGCCCCGACTTTTGGTTCCCAGGGCTCCTGGAGACACGAGGAAGGGAACCCCCAAATGCTGTTACTCTTGGCACTCACCGCTTCATTCCGACAGGTCATGACTGCAGCCACCGTCTTCTCCCCAGTGGTGGCAAAGCTCACTAGGGCAGTCTGGGGGCAAAGCAGGGTGTCAGTTCCTAAATGAGGCCTTCACTGGCCAGCAGCTTTCCAGAGGGTCACTTCTGCAGGGAGGACCCTTGGCCTTGGAGTTGAAAGGAGCATAGTGGCCAGGCCGCGTGGGAGCAGAGGAAGGCATCCACAGCTGAACACAGGCCTCTCCCCTACTTCCAACACAGGCGCAGGTCAATCCTCCCTCCCACACTGCTCTTGCTATCTACGGGATCTCTAATTAACATCCCCACTTTCCTGTGGACTCAGAGGAAGGCGCCAGTTGTACTCTACAGGTCCTTTGTAACTCTCAGAAGCAAAGTACCATGTTTCTGCTCTCAGGCCAACCCCTCTCGAGCTTCTTATGAACAGATGTCTTCTATCTCGAGCAAACGTCTCCAGCTTCAAAGGCAGGGGTTCCTAGTACCCGTGTCTTGGCTAGCTCTCCTGAATCCAGGCAAACCACGATGCCTGCATTACCTGGGGGAAGTTTTTGAGCAGACTCAGGGCTCCATTATGGTAGTGCAGCAGGGCATAGTGGCTTGGGGACAACTGCAGGAAGAACTGCGCCCGAGAAGGATCCACTGGATGGGGCTGGGTGGGCAGGACCCGGGGTTGGAATCCACTTGCAAATTCTAAGTCGAGAGACTGAAAGGCAAGGAGGAGGAAGGTTAGGGCTAGAAGCCAAGAAGTTGGTTTCCCATCCCGGGCTTGCATCCTCTGCCCCACTTTGCCAGTGGAAGTAACTAGGCCATGGCGCGTGGCTCCAGAAGCTCCCATTCAGGTTCTCCAGAGAGGAGTGGCCCACTTCCCCTTTCAGCAGCTCAGCCAGAGGCTGCCCTTCTCCCAACAGCTGCCAAGGCAGGAAGGACGCAGTGACACTGGGAGAAAGGCTCTTCCAAGCGGCTAAAGCCAGGCAGCATTAGCCTCTCACCTGCAGTGGGATCTGCCTCAACTCCCACTCCGTCTCCAGGGCGAGGGTCTGGAGGGACCGTGAACTTGGGTCAGGGCACACCAGGACAGCCTCATCCACCACACCACAGGCTCCGGTGAGACTCTGCAGCCAGGGAGTCGAAACCCTGACCTGCAGGAAAGACATTGTAACAGGTGGCCCGTGAGGACTTTTAACACTTTTCTCTCAGCTCATCAGCAATGACACCGCCACATCCCACCGGGGGAGGAGAGGGGGGGGGCAGGGCTAAGCACAGCATTCTTCACGGTTGGTTCCAGAGTTCTTCCTGTCCCCCCAGCCTCCCAAAAGCTCCAAAGCTATAGAGAGAAATCACAACTTTCTGATTATTAGAAAAGTATACCAAATCATTTTTAATGCCCCACTTGAGATGAGCATCTCTCTACTGTATTTGTCACATGTGGGTTCTATCATTATTTTACGGTATTATCTTGCAGGCAACAAACAGGTCAATGCAATTCTTTTAGCCACCCCATGGCCGCACCGTGTGTGAATGCGAGGGCTTTAAATACTTGATGAGGAAAAGGCAGCCTCCAAGTGACCAGAATCAGGGACCTTAAATGGCCTCTGCATCTCCCCAGCCAAGTTCTCTGGTCTGCAGGGCGAAGAAGGGCTCTACCTATGCCCCTCAACCCGCACGGCTCCTCAGCAGATGCCTGACCTTACCTGCTGCACAATCTCTCCATCTTCCACGTTGAACTTGACAATGTTCACGTGGCTGAAGGGAACAACACCGAGCGCCCACACCACCCCAGAGCCGTAGGAGTACGCCGTCTGGTAACGGATGCTGTCACTAAGAGAGGGAAGAAGCAGCAGGAGCAACAGCGTTAGCCGCAGGGCAGGGCCATCCTCGGGGGTCACTGGAAACCAGGCTGCCAGGTCCTCAGCCAGATGTCATTCACTAGCTGTCCCCAATAGGCTTTGTTTGGCTCACACAGTGGGGCTTTTTTTAATTAGTTGTCCACATTTAGAACCGAGATTTTACACGTAAAAATCAGATTTCCAGCTTTTCTCAAAAAGTAAGATGGGGCAACACTAGGCCTACCTACATTCCTACAAGGCACCTATCTGCTGAGGAAGGCTGCCCCCTCGAGGTAGGCCAGGCACACTGCAGCTCCCAAGGATCCCCACTGGGCCTGCTTTGCTCCTGGATGCCATCTATCTATGCACTTGGCCCCATACGAATCTGAGTTTTGGGTCCCTGCTTTAAACTTTGAAAATGGCCACAGGTGGTCTAAACCTTTCCTCCCGCCTGTTTCTTCCCAGCTGCAATGCTTCCCACCACCAGGACCTCTGCGAAACATCTCACACCTCACTAAGCTCCTACCCTGGGCCTTCTTGAGCTGTTCTAATTCTTAATATGAAAGGCTCAGTCAAACTTGAACTAGAGGTCAAAAAGCCTGTAGTCTGACCACGAGCGAGTGAGCCTTGCCCCTTGCTTCACTGGCTCTCGTGCCCAGTTTGAGAGTTTTCTCTTCGCTGCAAAGGAAACTCCAGAGGCAGCACAGCCTTTGAGTTCAGGCCGATCTAGTGAGCCCAACACACCACACTTGATGCCAACGTAAGGCAAGCCTGGGCCAAAGCAAATGCTTCAACCCTAAAGGAGAAAGAGGGGCTTATAGAGAGCGGAACCATGTGGCTGTCACCTGATGGGAAGGCGGCCTTACCTTTCTGGGAGATGTTCCACCCACTTCAGGTGCCCACTGGAGAGGTGATGGAGGGCGAGAGTGGTCTTCTTCAGGACTGCAATGTACCTCACTGACTCCTGCAGGCCGACCAGCCCAAGTGCCTGGAAACTGAGCACAGGTGCAGTGGTGAGCACAGCCCAGCGCCTCCACAGCCTCAGGAGAGAGGAGACAGTCGGGAACACTACCAATGCATCTAAGCGGGTAAGAAAACAGGCTTTGGGAGTCAAACACATCCGGGTCCTAGGCCTGGCTCTGCTTATGCTTAGCTGACTTGAGAGACTGCACTTTCAACCAATGGGCAGGACAGCTTCTGTGAACCACTGAATATCCTAAGGGTTGTCCCTCCTTCCCCTGGGACCAGGCCAACCCTCTACCATGGCAACCCTTGAGACAGCACTGTCATTGCTGGCTACTCGCCTGCCTCCCCCAACTAACAATGAGTTCCGTGATGACAGAAACTGCCTCATATTCACATGTGTCTTCCCACTGCCTAGGGACTCCCCAGGTGTTTCCTGACTGCTTATCGGGTATATAAGCTAACGCAAAGAACACTGTCAAATAACTCTAACAAAGATGTAACAGTAGCTCAAGCTGTTCACGAAACGTAAAATTAAAACACTGACAGTTATATGGGGATGTCAAGTACAGCACAGAGAATATAGTCAATACAGCTGCAACAACTAGGTATAGTACCAGGGGGGTAGGCTAATTGGGGGATCATGTATAAATTATATGACTGTCTAACCACCATACTGTGCACCTGAAACTAATATAAAATACTGAATGTGAACTGTAACTGAAAAAAATAACCTTTTTAAAAAAACCACTGAAAGTTTTATATTATGTTCTTACTACACTGCAAAGCTCTTGAGTCCTGGTAAGATTAGGAAAAGATAATCAAGTACAAACACTGCATCTAGCTGAGAGCTCCGCATCTAATAAATGTTCAATAAATGCTAGCTGAGTAAACACATGTGTTCATTACCTCAAGAACATCAAACCTGGGTATTTGAGACTTTGGGACTCTGCAGTGGTCCCTGGGGAAAAAGGCAAAAGGCCCAAAGTTGTTGTCCATGCAGATCTGTGTTCCAGCAAGCCTTGAACCAAGCCAAGATAAAACACAGCATCTTCCCCTCTACCTGCCACTGTCCAAGCTCATCAAGATAAAACACAGCATCTTCCCCTCTACCTGCCACTGTCCAAGCTCATCAAGATAAAACACAGCATCTTCCCCTCTACCTGCCACTGTCCAAGCTCATCAAGATAAAACACAGCATCTTCCACTCTACCTGCCACTGTCCAGGGTAATCTCCCAGTTCAGGCCCCCGATGTTGGTCTCCCAGGAACGCATGATCCGGCCTCCGTTGGACACAGTGATTGCATCTGGAAGAGAAAAGACCACATAACTGGTGCTCTGCAGCCTCCTAGGGCCCGTGAGCAGTGGCCTCACCTCTGATGTAGGAGTGCAAGTACGAGCTATTTGCATACCTGTTCTTCCCTGTTGGGAACACCCCTCGATTCCCTACCAGACCCCGAAGAAGGAAGGAACCAAGAAATGGAGAGACAAAGCAGAACTCTCCTTACTTACCCTGTCCATACAGTAACATGGCATCCACAGCCCCTTCCGCCGTGCCCTTGTCAACATGGCGCCACACTGAGAGACAAGAGAGTCTGACATTACTACAAACTGAAGGCAAGCATCCAAGAAGGTGGGTAGGAGAGAACTGAAGGGGTCTTTGCTTGCACAGTGGTGTCCAATTTTATTTCAAGGGAAGGAAGGATTACAAATAACTTCACTCCGCTTTCTAGGAAATGAGGGGAGGTGGGGTTGAGAGGAACCCCTACTGTCCCAATCGGAGGCGTCTGCGCTTCCAATCCCCACTATCACCCCATCAAACACAGAAATGAACAGTGACAAAATTAACAAAATCCATTATGAGTCACAAGAAAAACAGTGATTATAAATTACCTATCCATGATTTTAGTGCCTAAAAACACCCATAAAAGCATTACAAGTAAGGAGGGGCTAGGGGGCGCATCCAAACCTTTAATGCAAAATAGTATTATATGTTTTCTGCAGTAATATCTTATTTAAGAACACTCTGGACTTGGGCTGAGGGACCAGTTATAGGAATATATTAAATGACAAGACTGAAAAAAAAGGTGTCCGATTCCAGTAAGATATGTATCGTTTGGCTGACGTCCCTAACTCGAGAAACAGCCAGGCAGCCCTCACAAGCCACACAAGCCATTCTGGCTTCAATGTGGTCATCCATTCCATCCCAAGCTAATTGGTCTACATAATTCACTCACAGATCTCCCCAGTCCGAGAATTTAATGCTGCAATCACATTCTTCTCTGTGGCCACAACCAACTTCTTGGATCCTGGGGAAAATTCCAATGAGGCAAACTTGAGCTTCCCAACATACTGCTGTCTCCTAAAGAAAAGAGTACAGGGAAATGTAAGGGGCCAAAAGCATCACTGCACAAAATGCTTTGGAAAAAGACAACTGCACAACTATATGAGGTTATCACCATCATACCTACCTTGGGAGGCAGGAGAAATGTTTGTGAATGAGAGACCTGACCAAAATCAAGAGATCTATGCAATGTAGTCAGAAGTAAAGGGAACAAGAGAAAGTGTGCCTAACATGAGAAATACCACAGTCTTCCTTCTAAATGCAAGCACGTGTTTATCTCAAGATAAGTGATACCCAAAAGAGCACCTGGCCTAAATCTCACTACAACAAACGTTAGTCCTCTCTGTATTAATAGTGGGACTAGGCACTCATATTACACATGAGGAAAGAGACACAAACCCTGTTATCCATGAGCATACAATCCAACTTTCCCTTCTATTTTCACTGATCTCTGAAGAAAAAATTATGCAAATTTTCTAACAAAACTACATAGATTGGGTCAGGCCTTTGTTCTCTACAGCCTTTTCCATGTTCAGGATCCAGGTGACCCATTATTCATACTTTCTCTGGAATGTATCCTATCACTTTCAACACTCTTATCTAAGTATAAAGAGAAGATAATTTGCTTTGTATGGTCAAGGTGCTCCCACAGTGCTGTGAATGAAGTACTGCATTCTCTAGAAAATCAAGCACATGACGTTTACACGGAACTGCTCTTGTCATGATGTTATGTGGTCTAATTTTTTAAAAGAGAAAAAACTGAGCTGGTAGTAGAGAGATAGGATTGCATGACATTTGACAGTTTCTACTGGTATTTCCACATGCTTTATTCTCACTGTGTCCACTGAACACTCTATAACGTACAAAGGACAAATATTATTACTACTCTCATTTTACAGGTAATTAACCAAAGTCCATTGAAGTCAGCTAACTACTGTCAGAAATAGAATGTGAAAGTAAGACCTTCTGACTCTAAAGCCCATGCTCTTTTAAGATAACTATTAACTTTTATCTGGACAATAAAAGTAATGCCTGCTTATTGTAGAATATGTGAACAATACATAAAAGCATAAACAAGGGGTGACTGGTTAGCTCAGTTGGATAGAGCATGGTGCTGATAACACCAGGGTTGCCAGTTCGATCCCCACATGGGCCACTGTGAGCTGTGCTCTCCTTTAAAAAAAAAAAAAGATAAAAAAGCATAAAAAAGAAAATCAAAAATGCCTAAAATACCACCACCATAAACTTTTTTATGTTTTGGCATATTTCTTTGTGCTTATTTTTCAATTTGTAAATTGCATATACCTAGTATTCTGTTAATGTGCACTATATACGTATTATGTTGTAAGCCTTTCCTTACATCATTAAAAATATGACTTAGGAGTGTGTCACAAACTCATAGAGGTGTCATGGGTGAGCGTGGATGAGATGAGGGGTTACGCTGAGAAGCTCATCAACTGTGGGAAGCTGGGAGACACCAACAAACGAGCCATGTACATGGCCGGCTTTCTGGCTCACAGAGATAGACTTGATCACAAAACGGTTTCAAGTACTGGCCCCTCGGTACCAAGGTCAGAATGGGGACTACACGAGAATGCTGCAGATCCCAGATCGGGATAAGCAGGATCGGGCCAAGATGGCAGTGATGGAGTATAAAGGGAACTACTGCCTCCCACCCTTGCCCCTGCCTCGCAGAGACAGCAACCTTACATGCCTAAACCAGCTACTTCAGCCAGGACCAGGAAGCAAGCATCCACAGAGCCCACAAAGCTCAAACACCAGGGATTTAACTGAAGTCAACGGGTGTGTGGCACTCATCAGTGCCCGTGATCATAGGCCTTTGGAGCTCTTTTAATCTCTAAGAACTAGAGTTAGAGTTGTGAGAAAGAGTCTTAATGAAGCCCCGGACCTCTGGGGAGCCAGATAACTCGCTCTTTGCACAATAGATAAAATTCCTTGTATGAATATATGTAAACTAATTTTTTTTTCCTCCCCTTGGGATTTCTGAGAACGAGAATTATCCAAGTGCTCAGTCTCCGTGGGATAGTAAATTCACAGCATATGTTAAAAAAGTAAATCAGTAAAAAATAAATAAAAATATGACTTATGTTGCATTTGTCACACCATCTTATATCACACACTCATACAGCAGGTCCTCGAATAACATCATTTCATGATAATGAGTTGCCATAGGGGCTTAACTCTTGTGTATATCAATTAGCCTGTGGTAAAATTGGTTTTGATGTCTGTCGTTTTGTTTAAAGTTGCAGAACCTGTTGATGACATTAAGTGAGGGTTTCCTGTATATCTGCCCCGCGAGCTCCTTCACATCTCTGTACCCACAGCTCCTGGAACAACCACTGACCCACTATAGGCACTCAACAAATAAGTGAATTAATTTGCCTGATCCAGAAAAGACTTTACAGAAGAGGAGATATCAGAGCTCGGCTCTGAAGGTTAAAATGTTTCCTGAGTAGTAATAAAAATGAGTACCATACTGATTGCATTCAAAGAGGCAGGCATTGTGTTAAGGGGATATTCTCACTCATCCTTACAACAACTGTAGGAGATAAGGGACTAGTATTTAGTAAACTATTTTACAGAAAAAGAAACCATGCACACAGTGGGTTAAGTCACTTTCCCAAGGTTACACAACTCTTGAGTAGCAAAGTTGATATTCAAATAAAAGCAAGCCAATTCCAGGGCCTTAAGGAAGAAGGTGTGGGGTGACAGGTGAGTAAGTGGATGGCACCTCCATGAAAGGCACCTGGCTGATGTGAAGCTGGCGCAGCTGTGTTCTGAGCCCAGAGCCCGGCTGAGCTGGAAGGGAGGAGAAACAGGACTCAGCTTAGGACTTATAACACCCAAGACTCTGTACACATGCCCAAGAGACGCCAATTCGAGAAGGAATGAGAGTTCACGGAGGGCTGTCGGCCTGACGTGCAGTAGAGCAGAAACCTGTCAGTCACAAAAATGGGGCCTGACGGGGGAGGAAGCAACAGCGATCTCTGACCAGAACCCCAAACACGCCTGAATGTCAAAGCCAGCTTCTTGGGCTTGTAACCTGTTCAGTCGCACGCTGCGTCTCAGAAGAGCACCCCCCACACACACACCCGCCAACGTTTGGTTTAATGCTCTGCTATCCCCATCTTAAAACTTTTAACTTTTGAACAACGGTCCCACATTTTATTTTTGCACAGAGCCCCCGTAAGTTATGTAGCCGAGCCGGTCCTGCTGCATGGTAACCGCCCTCCCTTTAGCAGGTAGAAGACAGGTACTGGGAAAATAGCCACATATTTCCCGAAGAGGCTCCGCACGTACTCACCAATCAAACTTGCCCACTTGGTCTTCGTACACAGCGGCCACAGGAATAAGCAATGCAGCCCAGAACCAGAGACGGGAAGCCGCGGCCGCCGCCATGACGGGAACCCGGGCCCGCCCGCTGACGGCCCGGCATGCACCGCGCCATAGGCTCCGCCTCCGCGGAACCAGAGAGTTGCAACCACAGAGTTGGAACCACACGCAAGCCCTCGACGGGGCGCCCAGGACTCGGAGGCTCCCCAACGTGCCGAGAGTCGACCTGATACTGTGAGGAAAGGCGCAGGTGGCGGCCAGGCGGGGAGAAGCGGGCCGCACCGCAAATTGGGTCAGGCACACACGAGGGCAGCTCTCTAAGGCCATCCCAGAGGCCCCCGCGCCGCCGGGGTCCTAACAGGCAACACCGCCTTCCGCCGCACGTGGCTGCAGCGAGATGCCCAAATCCAAGCGCGACAAGAAAGGTGGGTGAAGGGGGCGTTGGGACCAGGTCCGGAGCCCCACTTAGTGCGATGGGAGTTTGGGGGATACAGAATGGGAGGCCGGGACCTCCGTGAGGAGCTCCGCGGGCTTGCTGCTAGCTAGCGGCGGGATCACGCTGGGCAGAGGGAGCATTGGAGAGAGCTGGAACCTAGTCGTGTTAAGCGAGCGGAGACTGTTTGGCCCAACCTCGAGTGCTCTTCCAAGGCCTACTGGGCCGGGAAACAGCTTGTGAGCACCGAGGCTGCGCCCGATCTCGCCGTGGCCCATCTGCCTTAGCACCCTGGCCGCCTTTCCCTTGCTCTAACACAAGCTTATTCCCGTGCCTGTCTCCTTGTACTTGCGGTTCCTGCTGCCTGGCATGCTTATGCCCCGATTTTCATTTGGCTGACTCTGAGTTGTCAGTTTATTATAGAGCACCTCCTAAGAGAGCATTCCTTACTATGGTGGCGTCTCTCTCACCCCGGCTGTTTAGTACATTCACTCCACAAATATTTAGGGGCCTGGCACTCTCTAGGCATAGAAGGATACAGCAGTTACAACAAGGAAGGCTTAGAGCCCTCATCGACCTTAACAGTTTAGTCATGGGAAGTATATCCCACCGAAACACCAAAAATTGAATCATGAAAGTCAGATAGTGATGAGTCCCAAGGAGTAAAAGTGGGAGAGGTGATGTTGTTTTGTATAACATGACCAGAGATCTTTGATGAGGTGGCAAATGAGCAGACAAACCTGAGGAAAGGAAGCGAGCCACCCATGGAGTTACCTGGAGAATGGTGTTCCGAGGAGAGGGAACACAGAGTGCAAAGGGGCTGAGGTGAGGGCATGTTTGGTGTGTTCTGGAACAAGAGGCTAGTGTGGCAGAAGCAGAGTTGGGGGGGGTTGCAGGGTGGCAGGGCTTTCCGGACCTTTGCGGGGAATTGGCCTTCACATCCCAGTGAAATGGGTAGGCATCTGAGAGCTTGCGCTGGAAGAATGACATGGTTTAACTTTACTTTTAAAAGATCACCCTGGTTGCCATGTTGAGAATGGACTGGGTAAGGTGGAGGCAAGGATGGAAGCAGCAAGACCAGTAATCCAACAGGGTGATGCTGGCTTGGCTCACAGATGCAGCAGTGGAAGTGATAGGAAATGGACAGCTGTGTATGGTTTGCTCTCCTGTCCTGCTCTTGTCGCTAACTAGTGTGATTACCTTTCTGTATATATGCCTTATGAGGCGGGACTAAGAGCCAGGCAGGATGACTAAGGTGGCCGCTTCCTGGGGGCACCCCGGGCTTTGCATCTGATGCTCTGTTAAAGTGTTTGTGGGTTCTGTGGAGGGAGCCCTGATGAGAGCTGGCAAATCCAAACCCTTCTGGGTCAGGGGCAAATTGGGCCCCGGCTTTTGTTATAGTAGAGGTGCTTGTCCCTCTCCAAAGTGGCATGGCTGCATCTATGAGTCCAAACTGCAAAACAAGCGGTAGCAGAGAAGATCCAGTCCCCAGGCTCATCGTTCCACAGCAGAGGCCATCCATAGGTGGTCTCGATGTACCATGGCCGTGAGCAGAGAGACCTGCCTCAGCCAGCAGATGAGGTCTGCCACTGAAAGCATTCCCACGAGGTGAAGGAGGAATTGAGAAGCAAGCCTCACCTCCACACCTCAGTACAGATGTTTAAGCTAAACTAAGGGTTCTGAGGAACACTAGTTTGTCTTGAGTAACGGAGTATAGCAAAAGATCTCCAAGCTCAGAAACACCGGGAAGTAGGCGCTCCGAGGAACCTGGGAAGAGTCTTGCTGCCTCTGCTCAGACTGGCTTGGTCCAGCCGAGCTACCAAAGGCAAGAATAAAATGAGTCTCCGGGACATCCAGATGTGTCTCTCATCATCTTCTGTTTCTTCTCTGTATTAGTTTCCTTAACCAAAACTGCCAAGAAAGGCTTGGAACTGAAACAGAACCTGATAGAAGAGGTAAGAGTGTGTTCTTTTTATTTTTCCAGACTGAGTTTGGTTTATAAAGGTGTGTATAGAACTATGTGTTAGGGAAACATACTGTTTAAAAAAAAAACACACACAAAAAAACTGCTGAGCAGCCCATTTTCCTCCAGTGGCGGCACCACTAAAACGCCCGTAGTGATGATGATTTCCAGCTTGGACTGAGCCCGTCCTCTGTGCCCTGCACGGTGCTGCGTTCCACAGCTGTCATTCCACTCCATCCTCACACATGAGGTGACATTATCCATTTTGCACGTGGGTAACTGAAGCTTACAAAGATTTGTTAGCCTGCCCAATGTTAAAAGGCTGGGAGTTACCAGATGCAGGGAAATGCGCCAACCTGCTGTCTGCACAGCTTCGGGGCTGCAGGCTGGAAGAGAAGGGAGTCTCCTCCTGCATAAAGATTGTTCCTTGAGGCCACCTCATCATGGCTGTGACCAGCAGTGTGGGCAGAGTAGGGCTGGACACGGCGTCCCCATGTGAGTAAATAATGAGGCTTCATATGTTTTATTTAGTAGGCGCCTTCCTAGTGCAGCTAAGTGTTTCTAGGTTATCAACAACTAATGGCAAAGCAAAGAGAGGAGCCCACAAGTCAGTCAGAAGCCTGGGGAGACCATGGGATCCTGACTTGTGGCTCAGCTTCCCCTGCTTTGCCCCAGGGGAGCCCCTGTACGTAGGGACCCTGTCTCAGGCCTCCAGCTCTAACCTCCCATAGTTGTGAGTTAGAGCATAGTCTTTCTCATCGGAGGCGAGTGTTGCCCAGTCCTGGTGCCCCCTTGAACTCCAGAGCCCCGTGAATTGTCCCACAGCTGCGGAAATGTGTGGACACGTACAAGTACCTCTTCATCTTCTCCGTGGCCAATGTGAGGAACAGCAAGCTGAAGGACATCCGGAATGCCTGGAAGCACAGCCGGTGAGCAGGCGGGGGCAGGGCCAGGCTGTTCTCAGTCACACACGGGCCAGTTACTGCCCCTGGGGTATCTGGGTCACAGATGGCAGGTTAATAAGGATGAAGTGCCGCTCCCCCGCTGAAGGTACTTTTTAACTGTTACGGCTGCTCTTTGCACTGTGCCCCCAGTGGGGCAGGACTTGGTGGTTGGCTCAGGGAATGTTTGAGCAGTGAACCCTTCAGGAGAAGGGGGTCCTCCCTTTCCCCTGGGGTGTGGTCCGTTTAGAAACATCTTGTCAGTTTTAGAATGTCATGTGCTCCAGGATGCAACAGTGACCTGAAAGCAGGCTGCACAAGCCATGGGGCAAGTACCTGTCCTCAAGCTAGAATTAGGACAATGCGGGTGATGACTCTGGTCGTCTCTTGCCACACCAGCTCTAGTTCGGACCAAGAAACGAGCCTCTTCCATACATTCAGATGGGGCAGGCGGATTATCACATAACACTCACAGTGTTAGACAAAATATTGTGAAGGTCAGGGTCTCTGGGCAGGAAAATAGTGGAAGGAACCCTGGGCTGGGGACAGAGCGGGGGCACAAGTTTGTGGGAGTCTGTTCATGCCTCCAGCTACAAAACAGCCTGGGCCTGGCTTGGCTCCTAAGAGCTGGCTGGTTTGCACTTAACGGGGCGAGGGCAGCAGCGAGGCTGGACGGGGCACTTCCTTCACAGAGTTCTCTTCTCTGTAGGATGTTCTTTGGCAAAAACAAAGTGATGATGGTGGCCTTAGGTCGAAGCCCGGCTGACGAGTACAAAGACAACCTGCATCAGGTGAGTCCCTGGGCCTCACCAGGAGGGGCCAAGGCCACGCCGCCTTCCCGCCTGCTGCTTTCACATGGCCCTCCAGCCATCTGGAGAGCCCGCCTGGCTTAAAGCTCTGGAGGTCAAAGGCGAACCTTTGACCTCCAGACCCAGAGAGTACTGTGCATGCGAGCACACACCCAGCTGTGACAACCAAAAATGTCTCTAGGTGTTGCAGAATGTTGGGGGATAAGGGGGCAAAACTGTCCCCAGTTGAAAGCCACTGCTCTAATGTGACCAGACCAACCCCACTTTCGTTCTGTAGGTCAGCAAGAAGTTGAGGGGTGAAGTTGGTCTCCTTTTCACCAATCGCACTAAGGAGGAAGTGAATGAGTGAGTGTTTTGAGGGGTGGTGGGGAAGACGGAGGTTGGTGAGAACTCTGGGGAAGGAACAATCCGGGACTTTGTGCAGTGGAGGCATCAAGTAAGAAACGGTTCCTAGAACACTGGTACTGAGTCTTCGTTCTCTCCAGGCTGGGTGCCGCCAGCAGCTGAGATTGCTGAGAAGGGAGAGAGGAAGGGAGGGCAGGCCCAGCGGGGGGCTGACTTCAGGGGGGCTGTAGCCCTGTCAGGAACCTCCCCTCCTACCTCTTCTCTTTCCCCTGAGGTGGTTCACGAAATACACAGAAATGGACTACGCCCGCGCTGGAAACAAAGCAACTTTCACCGTGAGCCTGGACCCAGGGCCCCTGGAGCAGTTCCCCCACTCCATGGAGCCACAGCTGAGGCAGCTGGGCCTGCCCACCGCCCTCAAGAGAGGTATGGGGAAGTCCCTGGAGCTAAGCGGTCACAGCTTAGTGGCCAAAATACAGGTCCCAAGCCCAACAGGCCCCCTCGCCCCTTTCTGGCTGAGCAGGTTATGTCTGCCAGCCTCCATTTTCTCATGAGAAAGTGGGGCTGAGAGTGCCCGCCTGATCACTGGGGTGAGTGTGCACAGTAACTTATAGCCAGAATACAGCTCTTATAGGGACAAGGAGGGACGCAGTCACTGCTCCCCAAACACCCTTGCAGGCAGCTGAATGCTGCTGATTAATCCCTACCCCAGTGTGCACTGGACTTGTCGGGGGACAGGTGGCCAAACAGATTCCTCCCAGCTCTGGGCGGCAGACAGAAAGCTGTGCGCAGACCTTTGTGCCAGAGGTAACTGCCTGGTGTCCCCCTTCTCTGCAGGCGTGGTGACCCTGCTGTCTGACTATGAGGTATGCAAGGAGGGTGACGTGCTGACCCCAGAGCAGGCCCGCGTCCTGGTGAGTCCGGCCCTCCCAGCCGTCTGCAGCCCCGGGGGTGTTCCACAGAGACTCCTGATCACACTCGTTCCTCCTTACTCTTGGTTCCTTTGCCGCTGTCTTGCAGAAGCTTTTCGGATATGAGATGGCGGAATTCAAGGTGACCATCAAATACATGTGGGATGCACAGTCCGGAAGGTTCCAACAGATGGGAGATGACTTGCCAGAGAGCGCCCCCGAGTCGGAAGCAGAGTCAGAGGAGACCGATGATGACTGACGGGTGCTCCGGACTGAGGGCCTCCCAGCCCGTCCCAGGTCTCATCTTGACTGGGACACACGGGACTGCCACCACCCCTCGTGGGGGACCAGCTGTTTATTTTGCTCTGGAAGAAGACAAGGGGCGAAAGGGACAGACTCTTCTATAAAGAATAAAACTTGGTCTGCAGGGTGTCTCCCTGTAGACTGCAAAAGGGACTTTTTTCAGAAAAAAGGCCTTTGGATTTGGGCTTTTGTTTGGATCCCTAAGGCGCCCTTTGTTCACCTCACGAGCCAGCTTCCAGCACTGGTTCCTGCATGACCCCCGTGGCCGTGCAGCTCTAGGGACAGGAGAGCAGCCACCAGGGCTTCTGTCCCCTGCAGGGCCGTCCATGCACACACAAAAAAGGAAGCATGCTGGAAATGGTAAATGTGGGTAAATACAAGACTTTTTCTCAGTTTTGACCTTTTAATAAAAGGTCAGGATGGCTCAGCTTAAAAAAAAAAAAAAAAGGTCATTGAGTTTTTATAAAGTTAAACATTACCATATGAGTCAGCAAAAACCACACCAGGGAACCTAGACACAAAAATCCTTTAGCAATTCAAATACAGTAGTATATGAAAAGAATGATAAATACAGCATGACTCTGGGTTGCATACCAGGAATACTGGATGACTTTATAGTTGAAAATCAGTCGATATAATTGACTATACTAACAGACCAGAAAATAAAATCCAGGTAATCATCTTAATAGATGTGTGAAAGCTATTTAACAAGATTTAATAATGATTTGTTAAAAAGGAAAAAAGAACTCTCAGGAAACAATGGAATTTCCTCAAACTGATAAAGGACATAATACAAAAAAACATACAGCTACCATTTACTAGTGAAATGCTTTACCCCTAAGATGGGGGGCCGGCAGTGATGTCTGCTTTCACCTCTATTTTTTTTTTTTTTAAGATTTTATTGGGGAATTGGGGGAGGGGACCAGCCAAATTGTTCTTCAGTCTTCGTTGTGGAGGGCGCCAGTCACCATCTGGCTGCCGGTCTGCAGCTCGTGGCCTCTTAAGCTCTAGGTGCTGTGTTCAATCTTAGTTGCGGGTGGGGGTAGCCCACCATTAAACAGGCAATCTTGTTACACCAGCTGAGCCATCCTGCCACCTGTTGGCATCTCAGCAGGAGCTCAGCTTGGGTGCAGCATCACTGGCCCATGTGGGAATCGAACCAGCGGCCCTGTTGCTCAGAGCTCGCGCTCTTAAGCCAACTCTTAACCAACTGAACCCCTCGGTTGGCCCTGCTCTCACCTCTTACATTCAACATTGTACTGGAGATACTAGTTATCCCAACATATTTCAGTGTGCTTGTGTAATAGTAGACAATTTCTTACATAATTACCATGTTATCACCCTAAAAAATTAGTTCTTTTGTGTCACCTAATACCATGCCTGGGTTGATGGTTCTTTTCTTTTGGCACTTGAAAAAAATCCCAATTCCTTGTAGCCTCCATGTTTTTTTCTGATGAGAAATCTCATTTGAATTCTTTCCCCTAAATCATTTCTCGCTCAGTCTCTGCTCTTGAGATTTTTCCTTTGTCTTCAATTTTCAAAAGTTTGACTATAGTGTATCTTGGTGTGAATTTTGGGGTATTTATCCTGTTTGAAGCTCATTTCACTCATTGAATCTATAGGTTTATGTCTTTTGTCAAATTTGGGAACTTTTCACCCATGATTTCTTTGAGTACTTTTTCAGCCTGCCCTGTGTCTCCTCTCCTGGGACTCAACGTGAATGGTAGATCATTCGTGCTAGTCCCACAGGTTCCTGACACGGCTCTTTTTAATTACTGATGCATTTTTATGATGGCAGCTTTAAAATCTTTGTTAGGTAATCCTGACATTTCTGTCATCTTAGTATTGGCATCTATTGATTGTCTTTTTTCATTCAGTTATTGAGACTCGTGATCTTCTGACACTACCCTGGGCCTCGTTACTGCCCAGTGGGGAAGGAATCCAGTGTCTCCACTAGGCCGCCACTGATGCCACCCTGACTAGGAGGGTTAGGAATGTTTCCTTACTGCTGCCCATGTGGCCTCACTGACACCATGGTTCAGTGAATGTCCCGACTCCCCTAGGCTTCTCTAATACCACTCCAGTGGGGAAAGAAAGGTGGGGATGCAAGTTCCAGCTCCCTACTCAGTCTTTCTGGAACCATTCCTTCAGGAGCCTGGCAAGGATGGAAGTTGACTCCCCACTCAGCATTTGCTGGCATGGGTGATAGTGAAGTTGGCTGGGGGGAGGCGGGGGGCGGCAGTAACAGTTTTAATTCTGTAGCGTTTGGCTGGCGTAAAGCAGTTATTTTCTAAAACATTTGCCAGGCTGCACCTTTCCTAGTTCTTTGGCTAGAGGAAGCAGGTCCTTGGGGCTTTTTTTTGTATGCATCAGTTGGCGTTTCCAGGTTGTTGGCTTCTTCATCTCTAGGTCTGGGAATATATGAGGCAAAAAGTAAACCCAGGAAACTCACTTCTGTGTCATTCCTTGGGTCCCAAGTTCCCCAGCTAGTCTGGCTTCTTTCCATCATTTGGAGTCATATTTGTGCTATATGTCCAAGGTTTTTATTTGTACTTTGCAGGAGAAATAAAGCAAAATAGTCTATACCTTCCTGAAAGCAGAGATCATTTTGGTATTTAAGAAATAAAGTTACAGGGCCGGCCGAGTTGCGCGATGGTTAACAACTGGCTTGGGACGCCAGAGGGCCCCGGTTCGGATCCCACATATGAGGGCCAGTGACACTGCCCTCCACAGCTAAGATGC